GGAGCGTCAATGGGGAGATGCAATGGTTATGAGTTCCCTCCTACTTGAACGTCGTAGAATGGCTCTTCTTGAGCATTCACAGGGTCTGACAAAAATGATGTCACCCTACCGATTCTCTAACTTTGAATGCAATGTGGAGGTGGCAAAATAATCATCAACATTTTCGAAGAAGGAATAAACCCCCAAGACGTGTAGGATCAATACGCCTAGCAGGACAAATTTTGGTGCCCCTGAGCAGGCCCTGCGTGGCGCCTTTTCCAAGAAAGGCACCCCTGTAGCGCCCTATCAAGCTGTGACGTGCCGACCCGGATGCCACGCCCATAAATGTCCGACTGATGCTGATGGTATCAGCATCAGCATCAGGCTGATATGAAGCGGCCACAGTGCTTTATGTACACTCGAGATCCCTGAGATCGGGTAGGCGTGGCCGCATTTTTCAACTTACCCTCAAGGCGTCTACGCTTCTGATGCGATATTTTCATCTCGACACAATCGTTGTCGTGTCTCTGTCCAATACAGAACAAGATGACAGTTGTCCCAGACTGGAATATTCACCAGTAACCAGTTTCCTTACAGTGTTTGAATGTTTTTCCACGCTCGTTTACGCTCCGCATTTGACTTACTGAGGGAATCGTTCAGATATTTCAAAGGTGTACAAGCACTAGACTAAAGAAGGCCGTAAGTCGCTTGGGTGTGCTTAAACCATCATCAAAGTGAAACCCAGAAGATATTCGCAAAGGCTGACAACGTGCATCGACAGCGCTGAAGTAAAACAAAATTAAAGTAAACGTAACAGACCATACCTTGTCGTAAGTGCAGAAACGATCCGCGCAACATGATCGTTGTCGGAAAGGCTTTTTAAAACATGCCCTTTCCCACAGAAGCACTCTTAACACAGATGTGGGCGGAGACTGTAGAACTATCCCTTAAGAGGTGACGTTATGGAAAGAAAGTCCTGCGACATTTTGATCAAATGTTCTAGAAAAAGACCAAAAAACATTTCAAATGTTTTCATCCCTGATTAGTGGAGACTGTCCTCTGGGGTTTCTGCAAATGGGTATATCATGAATTTGTGGAAGCTTTTAGAGCTCAAAAGTCCCTCAGAGGTCGAGGTAGTTTTTGACCTATCCCATATTATTTCCTGTATGGCCACTCCGCCGTAATCGAGGAAGTGAACACCTCCTTTGTCTTCAGGAAGGACGTCGCTCGCCATGCCACAGTGTCCCGTTTGTATCAGCGCTTGAGAGCTGGAGTTATTTAATTCGGAGGTAGGCAATGTATAGGTCGGCCACCAGCACAGAATGACGGCCGTTTACTCAAGCTTCTTGAGGCGCAGCCGAACGTAACCACCAGTAAGTTGGCAACCTCTCTAGGCTCCACCTAACTGACAACTGCCATGCTTCTCCGCATCTCGTTTATAGGGAATACTTTTTGTGCCTTTTTGCGGATGCCTCATGTGTTGGGCTAGTCTGACAAAGCGCACCTAATGGCCCTGAGTGATTCCCTTGGGCACAGTGAAAGAACTCTTGTGAGATCTAGTGGTTGGTAGCGAGTGGTGGAGTCCTTGCGTACACCATGCACATGTCCCTCACAGGATCTCTCAAAGAGAAAAGTAGCATGCTTAGCCAAAAGCAGATGTGCATGGAATGAAGATTTCACTGTTGCATGTGGGTGCTATTGGTGGCACTTTAAAGCGATGTCGCTGGGTTCTGGCTCACAATGTCGGCGCAGTCTACACTAATCAACATTAAAACATGGATGAGTCACGCTTGAATTCATTCAGAAACACCCGCTTTCTTTCTACTACTCGGCAATGCGAAGACCGCATGTGAGGATCAAGCTACACCAAAAGTCGTGGATCTCGATCAGGGTATGCAACCGTACCCAGCTTATTTATCGAAGTTAGCAGCCTCTAATTACCACCTCAACAGATCCCTACCACATCCTTAAGAAAATGAAAATTCCGAAAATCGACGTCTACTCGAAAATGAGGTCCACCTCTTCTTTTTATCATAGTTGCCGTAGTTCTATAAGAATGGAAATGAGAAGCTGTGCAAAAGGTGGGCATTAGTCCTAGACATTAATGGTGATTAGCTGGAGATTGTAGGTGTCTTTTAGTGAAGGAAAATTTGGTCCGAAAACCTGGTAAAAGTGTCGCAGTACTTTATTTTCAATCTAATAATAAGAGCTTTGTCGTTAGAAAAATAAGAAAGATAGATGTTGAGAACAACCAGCAGGCAGGCTGCTGGAATAGAACACCGCTAAAATCATCACGTGGTCGACGAACACTCCCAATCGAAATAAGCCAATCAAAACGATTTTGATCTGCCTGCTATACCTCGTTCGTTAGCAAAATACTGAATAAGGGCAATTTGTTGAGAGCCGAGAAGACATCTGTTTTGAGTTTACACTTTAGTTTGACCTTACTCGCCATCTCGTGTTCTGGTAAGGTATGGTCTTGTTCGCTGCGGACGATGGGGCGTGTCAGGGGGGGGGAGGCTGGGAGGCTGGGTTTGGCACACCGCTAGCAGCTCTCCACCGGTAGGTGAAAAGGGTGAGCGACAACAACTGCTGAAAAACGACTGATGTGAACGATGTGATACAGTCTTGTCGTTGAGAGAAAAAAAAAGAAAAGAACGGGCTAGCGTCGGGCTAAACTCGTCGCGCCCCTCCCCCCTCCTTTCACACTTCCCATCATCCGCAGGGGATAAGTTTTACACTGGAAATCCCTGAGACGAGGTAGTTTATGCTTTTGAAGAGATATTTTCATTTTGACACAATTGTGGTCCTCTCTCGGTTCATTTCGAGTCCAACACTGAACAATATCGTAATTGTCTCAAACTGAATTATCCCACGAGCAACCCATTCTATGCCAGTTCAAGTTCACGACTACTCCGTCTCAGGGATGAGGATTGTTTTTATGATTGCGAAAAGCGTCTGTAGAATTCAAGGATTTGGAGACTGTGGCTCTGTCTCCCTTACCCTTGACGCAGCCTTTTCTAACATGTTGAAGAAAGTGTGTTATCCTTATTCTAGAGCGTGACATGCACTCCACTAGCATTCTGAGTCTACACACATAGTTAAATGAGTTCCTCATCCTCGAAAACACTCAGTTATTCCACGCTCTGTCATGAGACTAAAAATCCTCTCAGATTCGAGAGACTCATACTCAGTGTGGCTTCCTTATTGGGGCATGCGCTCTTTTGATACGGTAAAGAGTGCGCGGTGCGAGCAAAGCCTGTTTGTTATAACTTCCCTCAAAGACACATGGTACTATAATATTAGGTTGTTCGAAAAGTCCTGCGACACTTTGATTGAATTGTTCTAGAAAAAGACCAAAAATCATTTTGGATGTTTTTATCCCTGATTAGTGGAGACTGTCCTCTGGGGTTTCTGCACATGGGTATATCATGACTTTGAGGAAGTTTTCAACCCCCAGAGTCGACGTACTTCTCGACCGTCCATATTATGAGTACCTTATAGAGCACGCCGTAGTCAAGGAAGCTGACACCTACGTTGTCTTGAGGAAGGATATCGCTTGCCATGGCAGAGGGTAGCTTTTGCATCAGCGCTTCTAGGCTGGACTTATTTAACTCGTAGTTGGGCATTGTATAGG